ACACTCAAAATAATATTCAAAGGTTAACGTTTCCTTAGCACATTCAGATGAAATGCAGGATTGTTATAACAACAAGGCCTTACATACTTTGGCACTAATATTGACTCAAAACATACTATTGGAACAAAGTAGTAACTTTTTTTTGTATTTGTGGTACATAAAACGGATATCTATCCTTGCTTTAACAGACACGCTAGGTGCAAAAAATATCTATTTGGCTATTATCATATGTATATACAATTAGTTTATTTTTAATATTATGCAACATCTTATTTTCTTTGTGAAAATGGACTCATGCTTTATGACACCCAGGGATTTTTGTTCCTGGAGTGACCTTGTGATAAAACAAAAACTATAGCTACAATTCATCATTAAGGCAGTATAGAAAGAGCATGAACAGAGGAGTCACAAGACCCAGATAGTCATGTGATATTAGATGAGGTCATATGACTGCCTTCTGGGTTTCCCTTTCCTCATTTATAAAATGATGGTAACACTTGCTCTACTTTGTCTAATAAAGATTAATCCTTTATGTGGTAGGAAGGTGATTCAGTAGCTACTGTGTACCAAGCTCTGGAACTAGAAAGACTTCTGATGGAAACAGTTTTTCAACAGATATAACAACAAAAAAAAAATGACCCCATGTTTAGATTCAAAATTTTATTTTAGATTTTAATTACATTAAATACTTTAACACAAGACTAGAAATTAAAGTTATTGAAAAAATTTAGACACTCATGATAAAAATAGTGAAATTTTAACATTTTTCTAGAGAAACAACATAAAAACATGGACCTATTTGCAAAAATGGCTAGGTATGTGTTGAGAGATCAAATCCAAGATGGAAGCATTCTGTTTTCTGTATGCTGCTTGGTCCTTCCTCTCCTTTTTAAGGCTAATTATTCATAGACAATAATGACAGCTAGAAAATAAAAGCATATTTGTGTGTGTAAGGCTGCAAGTCTTTTTTAAGTTGCTTATATCCTGAGACCTTGAGGTCTGGGACCCTGACTTACAGACTATATTTTAATGAAGCACAAGAATTCATTGAATCAGAATCACAGCAACTTAAAGTTGGAAAGGGTCCTCAGAAGCCATTCATTCCTACTCATAACTAAATGTGAAGCCCTTCCATATCACACCCTCTCTGTAGTCATAAAACCTTGCTTTTAGTTCCAGCCTACCTATTTATAAACAACCTATTCTACTTTTTGGAAAGCTCTGTTTGCTTCGTGTTTGCTTCCATGCAGTGAAGTTTGAAACCAATTTTTAAAGAAATAGTACTCCTAATACCCTCCCACTTTTATTAGTGAAGTGTCAGACGACTAGATGCTTTTGTATGAATACTTAAGTTGATCATTTCTATTGTTAACTTTTTATTGTTAGTTTTATGTGGCCTTTTTTGTCTCAGACCAAATACTAGTATGATGTTAAGAGGGCCCCTAGGTTCTGTGAAACTGTTCTGTTTTGAGTAACATATAAAACAGCCCTAAATCATGTTTTGTGATTGTAGGAATATTTTCTCTCTCAAGGCCTGGAGAAACCATATTTTGCCTATCTGCATTCCACAAGGAATTTCAATCAGTTAAGATAGTTTCCATTTCCCATTTGAAAACTGTTGAAAAAACATGATGGAGATTTGCATTTCAAAAATTGATAGCAAGGCCATTAACCAAGAGTATCATTTGCAAAGCCTTTGAGATAAAAAAAAGATGAGTTTTTTTAAAGTAAAAAATATACCCAGAGACATAGATAGTGAATATTAAAATACAATCTTGTGTTCATGTGATATTTCTATTTGGTCAGTCCTTAAAGTGAATATTGAATAATCCTTGGCTATGAGAGGGAAAGGATCAGAAAAAAGACACTGACAGAGGTCGATCAAAAGTCAAGAATAAGCATCTCAAAATATAATTGAGCCTATGGAGCAGTATATTTCACCTTACATTTCGAAAATACAACTATTGCAAAGGAGTTATATTCTTACTTCATCTAAAAAGGAACTGAGATTTAGAGAAGTTAACCTGGATACCTGGATGTCTCAGTCCTAACTCTGCCTTTCAATCGGAGACCATGTTTTTCAGGCTCCCACAGCTGCTCCATATAATTTTTAGTTTCAGAGTTACTAAATAAACATTCTCTCTCAATAGGTCATACAGCTCTGCCTTTTTTGGGCCAGGACAAGAAAGAGGATTGATTCTAAAACTACGAAATTTGGGGGAAGAATGCTTTGGTTTGGATCCTTGACATTTCTACCTTGGCTGGAGCTTTCCGGAAAACTTCGTTTCCAAGTACCCAGATTACTGAGACAACTAGCTTCATAGGCTAGTGAAATGTTACGATTTTTCTAACTAGAACTTCTGGAAACACATTCTTCTGCCCTCAGTCATTCCTCACGGTTTATCGTCTACACTTGGATTCTTAACCTTTAGCTTCCCAACTGTAGTAGGTAATCAAAAGGGGAGCCTGTTGGAAGAGCTTCCTCACCTCCCTGCCCTTATGTCTTATATGTGATTGCTCGATCCTAAATGATGCCTCGAAATTCATCTGGTTTACTGCTAGAGGATTTTTTTTTGGTTGGGTGTCTATGAGAATTGTAAAGCGCTTTGAAAACCCTAACACACTGTTATTAATACTGTTAAGATCGTAATGCATTATTATAATGTGATGCATATTGTATAGATAATACTAGGAATTATCATTATCCAGGCCGTTCCCGTTGGGCAGTGCAGGAGAATGGACTCCACCTGTGGAGGTCTATCACCTGAGGGACACAGAAAGGAGGGGCGGCCCAAGCTAGAAAACGGAGCAGCGGCGCTCCGCTCTGGTCCGGGATGCCGGCTGCAGCTGCTAACCTCTGCAGCCCGCACGGTGCCGGGCGCCTCCCTCCGCACACCGCCCGCCAGGAGAAGGGACCGCATGGCAGCTGCGGTCTGGCGCACACAAAGGGGAACCCTTGGCGGGAGCTCAGGGGCCAGGTGTCGCCCGTCACGCCCGGGGCGTTAAGAAAGATCCGAGTTGGGTGGGGAAGCAGGGAGGCAGGCGTGGGTATCTTCCGCTAGGGGAAGGCCGGGGGAAGGTGACAGGACGGAGAAAAGCCTGACTCATGTGGTGGCTTAGGGACTCCTGGGAAGCAGAACTCGTGATGTGCCCGCTGCGCTGCGGAGAAGAGCCCCATTCTACCAGGGGCCCGCTCCAGACACATGGCCCGGCGGCCCGCCCCGCCCCTCCCCTCCCCCAGGCACTGCAGAGGGTGTCCCTCCCCCCTTCCTGGGGCGCGTGCACGCGCTCACACGCCCCATGAGCAAAGGGAGCGAGGACACACCTCGGCCGCTCGCGCCCGCGTCCCCTCTCACTTCATGCCCCACCCCACCCCATACTGGCAGCACAACGCTGTCCGCTCCGGATTCGCTCCCCGATCTCCAAGTCCCCGCCCCCACCGCGCCGGCGCCTGGGCCACCCGACTCCAGGCTTCGGTAGTTTCCGTCCAGAGCACCCGAGCTCGGCGGCTGCCTCGGCGGCTCTCCGAATCCCTGAACACCGCCTCTCCAGCCCCCCCGTCCCCCCACCTCGTCCGGCCCCGCCCCTTCTCCCCGCCAGGCGAGGCTTTATGTCTGCGGCGCCAGAGCGCCTGCGCAGACGCCATCTTCCCCGGCCTCCTCCCCCGGCTGCCGCTGCCTCCTCCTCCTCCTCCTCCTCTTCTTACCGCCGGACGCTCCTCCTCCTCCTGTGCCCGGGCTCGGGAGCCCGTCCCTCCTCTTCCAATGCCGTGAGAGACAGCGGGGGAGAGACGGCGTAGCCGGGGCAGCCGGAGGAAAGCACTCGTAACAACCCCCGCAGCCACCCCCTTCCCAACCCCCAGGCGCACCCGACACTCTCCCCCCCATCCCACTCCCTTCCCCCTCCCCCAGCCTCCCCCACCTCCTGCTCCATTCAGCGGCGCCCGTCAGTCAGTCTGTCCGTCCGTGGGTAGCCCCGGCCCCGGTGAAGCCGCCGCCGCGGAGAGGAGCCTCACGCCCCCTGGCTGCTGCCCGGGCGCCGGGAGGAGGACCTGCCTGCCCGCCTCCCCGAGGGCCGAGGACCGGGAGCCGCAGGGCTGCGCCCGCAGCCCTCCGCTGGCCCGGAGGGAGGAAGATGTTGGGACTCGGCGGCTGCCAGTGATGGAGCGGTCCCTGGGCTCCCCTAGCCGCCGCCGCTGCTGCCCCCGCCCCCGCCCGCCGCTGTTCCTGCCGCCGTCGCCGCCGTCGCCCCCCGGCTGGGTGCGAGGATCGTACGTATCTCCCCTTCCCCCTTCCCGGCCTCCCTTCCCCCGGCTGCAGCAGCAGCAGCAGCAGCAGCTGCCTCCGCCGCCGCCGCCCCCCTTGCCCCCTCGACCCTCCCTGGCCCCGGCCGGCCGGTCGGCCCGGGCTCTGGTGCCTTCGAAGCCTCCGGGTCCCCGGCTGAGCCGCGGCGGCGTCGCCTCCCGGAGCAGCCTCTAGCCTAGCGGTGGGGGAGGGGGCGGGGGGAGGGGGAGACTCCGGGCTTTTAGCTGCACCGGCCTGGCCTCCGGGCGTGCCTTTCCCGGGGCTGCCTTTTGGGGTTGGGGAGGGTGGAGGGGGTGAGTAAGGAGTTGGGCCGGGGGAGGGGGCGGCCCTGCCGGGGCTGGGGGGCGCGGTGGAGGGTGGTGCAGCAGCCGCTGCACAGCAGCAGCGGCAGGAGGGGGCGGCGGCGGCGGCGGTGGTGGTGGTGGTGGTGGTGGTGGCGGCGGTGGTAGTGGTGGTTTCCAAGTTGGCCGGATAACGTGGGCATTTCTCTCTCTCCCCCCTCTCCTCTTCTTCAGTCTGCCTGTCTCCTTCCTCTACCTCCTCCCCACCCCCTCCTCCCCTAGTGAAGCGGACTGTATAAAAGGGGGTGGAGAGGACCAGAAGGAAAAGTGAATGGCCGAGGACTGATAGTGTCACCCCTTCCCCCCATTTTTGCCTTGTTCACCCTCATTCATCCTCCGCTCGCGGAGCGGAGAAGGCACCGGCGGCGGAGGAGGAGCGGGGACCGTGCCTCCGGCTCCTGCGCTGTGAACACAAAGATCCCTGTGCAGGGTGCAGACACAATGCACCAGCCACCCGAGGCCACGGCCGCCGCCGCCGCCGCAGACCTCGGGGCTCGGAAGATGGCGCACCCGGCCGCAGCGGTCCCTCGAAGGGGCAGCAGCAGTAGCAGCGGCAGCAGCGGGGCCGCGCTTGGCGCCGCGGGCCCCGGCGTGGGCAGCCACGCCGCCTCGGCCGAGGACTACGCGCCTCCCGCGCCGTTGCCCGGGGCGGCGGCTGGTGGGCCGGCGCCGCCGCCGCCCCCGCAGAGCCTCCACCTCCTCTCGCAGGCCCAGCAGCTCCCCGCACCGCCCGGCGGGGCGCAGATGAAAAAGAAGAGCGGCTTCCAGATCACGAGCGTCACGCCGGCCCAGATCTCCGCTAGCATCAGCTCCAACAACAGCATAGCCGAGGACACGGAGAGCTACGATGACTTGGACGAGTCCCATACGGAGGACCTCTCCTCCTCCGAGATCCTGGACGTGTCCCTTTCCAGGGCCACTGACTTGGGGGAACCGGAACGGAGCTCCTCAGAGGAGACTTTGAATAACTTCCAGGAAGCTGAGACCCCTGGGGCGGTCTCTCCCAACCAGCCCCACCTTCCTCAGCATCATTTACCTCACCATCCACCCCAGAATGTCGTGATCAATGGCAGTGTTCATCCACACCATCTCCATCATCACCACCACCACCACGGGCACCACCTTCACCATGGGCACCACCATCCATCCCATGCCGGTGTCAGCACGGCTGTTCCTGGAGGGCCACCCCCAAGCCCAGTGTCTAGAAAACTCTCCACAGCTGGAAGTTCAGACAGTGTTTTACCAGCTGCACCAACTTCTGCTGTATCATCCACTGGCACACCTGCATCTCTAATGACTAATGTCCGCAATACAAATACTCCTGGCAGTATAGGTATAAATTCTGTTGCTGGCACTAATACAATAAATAACGTTAAAGTTACTGCAATGAGTAGTGTTAATCCTAACGTGACAAACAGCATGCCTGGCAATGTTAACGTACCTTCAAGTAACATCATAAGTACTGCTAATGTAAATGCTGTGCCTGGAGCTGGCAGCAGTGTTAATGTGAATATCCTAAGTGGCATGGGCAATGGTACTAATTCTTCTGTTAACAATGTTCCTACCCCAGCTGCAGGAATGGCTGTGGGATCTGTTTCAGCTCAGCAGCAACAACCAGCAGCTGGCACATCAAGGTTTAGAGTTGTGAAATTAGATTCTAGTTCTGAACCCTTTAAAAAGGGTAGATGGACTTGCACAGAGTTCTATGAAAAAGAAAATCCCATAGTGGTTACAGAAGGAGTAGCAGTAAACAAAGTGGTGGAGACCGTAAAACAGAACCCAGTTGAAGTGACTTCTGAAAGGGAGAGCACTAGTGGGAGTTCAGTTAGCAGTAATGTGAGCACGTTGAGTCACTACACAGAGAGTGTGGGGAGTGGAGAGATGGGGGCCCCTGCTGTGGTCCAGCAGCAGCCAGCCCTCCCAGGTGTGGCCCCGCAGCCAGTGGACTTCAGTAGTCCTGGGGCACAGAGTGTTTCGGCAGCTAGTCTACCACAGAGTATTTCTCAGTCACAGATTGCCCCAGTGCAATTGCATTCTCAAGAGCTGACCTATACTCCACAAAAGCAGGGAGGTCAGCCTCCTCTGCAGGCCAGCATAAGTGCTGTGGCTGGCATTCAGTCGACCCCGGTTACCCTCGTTGGTGTACCACCACCTTTAGGCCAGCAGCCTCCCATTTCCAGCGTGGCTCAACCCCAGTTGTCCTATTCTCAGACGGCCCCTCTGGTGCAGGCCACTTTGCCGGTTGTAGCACCGCAGCAGTTACAGTATGGACACCAGCAACAAACCGTGGCTACCCAGGTGGCCCCAGGCCACGTTCAGCCAGTGAATCAAAATCCCGTCACTGCTTCTCTACCAGAGTATGTTCAGCATCAACAAGTTCTCCAGACACCAGTGCCCCCTATCCCTCCAAATTCTGCAGGTGTGGGAGCAGCCCCAGTGATGCCCGTTGCTCAGCCACAGAGCATTCAGCCTTCAGTGCAGTCTACCACAGTCCAGGCACAACCTGCAGGGGCACCGAGCCAGCCTGTTGGACATGGCCAGCCAGCAGTACCTCCTGGAGCTACTAGTGGTCAAGTTGTGAGTGTTGGTCAGCAAGTGAACATCCCAGCTGTGGTGCCACAGCCGGCCGCTGTAACCCAGGTGACACCTTTGCCTTCTCAGCCTGGAATCATTCAGGGAATTCAAGCCAGTGCATCAAATCTTCCTCCGCAGTTGGTCATTGCACCTCAAAGTAACTTGGTAACTGTACAGTCCCAAGCTCAAGGAGCAGAATCTGTGGCTCAAGGAGCAGAATCTGTAGCTCAAGGAATAGCAAATCAGCAGTTGCCTCCAGTGAGTCCATTACCTTCTGCCGGCAATATCCCTGCTGCAAATCAAGTTGGTTCTGCTGTTCCTCCTGCAATACCAGTTGCGCCTACAAACTTGGGTCCACTGCAGAATATAGCACAAACTTCAGCTATACAAAATGGGAATTTGGTTCAGAGTGTTAGTCAACCTCCTTTGATAGCAACTAACATAAATTTGCCTGTGATGCAGCAGATCCCTCTAAGTTCTACTCAGTTCCCCACACAGTCACTAACTCAGTCCATTGGAAGCCAGAGTGAAGAAGCCAGGCATCCTGTGGAGCAAGCAGTAGTTGGCGTACCTCAGAATGTCACTGGGGAAAGCAGCGGGGGCCTGGCCTCAGTCTCTGATGGGAGTGGAGGTGCCATAGCAGCTTCAGCTTCCCTTTTCCCGTTGAAGGTGCTGCCATTGACCACACCCCTCGTTGATGGCGAGGATGAGAGGTAAGACCATGCCCTGTGTCTTCGGATATATACAGCAGATTTTCAGCTAACTTTTTTATTTATGTAGTTCCATTGCAGTGTTTCAGTAGCTATAAACTTAAGTCACATTTTTTTTGTTTGAAAAATATTTTCAGGGTAATAGTGTGTGTTTTTTTTTTCCAGAATTAAGAACAAGTAATACTGAATGGTTTCAGAGTGCACATAAAGTCTAAGTTTAATATTTGTGAACATTAATTTCTGTTAGCACAGCTGTTTGGGATTATTCACCATTAGAGATTAGTAAATTGGATGTTACTAGTTTGTCTTATTAAAACAATTTATTAGCGAAACTAATGAATAGGAGCATAATTCCTGAAAAATTCAGTCCTTTAATCTCCATTTTAGTAATGCTTTGTTTTCAAGGGACTGAAATCCTTTGACCATCTCTTCAGGTACTGTGGGCAAAATTGTTTTCCTATAGTAGAAAAACTAGACATCCCCTTTAAGTTCTCACCTACTCAGTTCTAAAGCATTTGATTTTATAGCCTGTGGGAGATAGTGTTACCAATTGCTATCACATTGAGATTGTAGGGAAAGGTTATATAATCTGAGTTGTTTCCTATTGCTCTAATACTTCTATGAAGCTAATTAATTTCTTTAACATTTTGATTTTCAACAGACTTAACCAAACCTTTTATAAAGGATGAAAACGTTTTCATATTGTTATTTCTGCACATTTTATCAAAATAATTAGCATTTTTAATAAGTTGATGTTTAGTATCAGATGTTTGGTTTTTAAATTTTTGTAGTATTGCTCCATGTTAATTTCCATTAAGATTTCTTCTTTTTTTTTCCCCTTGCCCAGGAGTAGGCCATGGTGGCAGCCATTTTAGAATAAGGTATTGGGTTTGATAGAAACTCTAGAGGTGTGGAGATGTGATGACAAAGAGCTCCTTCCCCATACTTCTTTTCCTCCACATGCTCCCTCTCGTTACCTAGCATGAAAAATACAGAAAGCCTAAAATTTTCTTAAACTAGTTTCCTCTCATGGATTGGTAATGGTGCACATACATAGCTGATAGCATGGGACCAGATTTGAGACTAGCTGAGGTGAAAAAGTTGAAACTCTTCCTTGGTAGTTTTTGGTATAGGTCAAAATAGAAGTTGATTTTTGGAGAATTTCCATTCATGTATATAGCATGGGTTTGTAAATTTGTGAATAAGATGGGTGTGGGGGGAGATAAACTTCAATTTGGGTTGAAGAAGCTTACAACCTGAGTTCCATTCATGTTTGAATTTTTAAGACAATTTGTGTGATTTGAACTTATGTTCAAGCCTGTTGAGTTATTGTATCACTATGCATTACAGATTGAGAAGATGATAAAATCAGCAGTCTAGAGAAAACTTAGGCCAAGTGAGGGTCTCATGCCACGTTGAAGGTGGTGTTCCAGATATGAATGAGAGATCTGTAGGTAGTTGAAAATATCTCTGTTCTAATTTTTTTTTAATATTAAAACCATATTTGTTATTATTTTCAAATTCTAACTCAGGATACTTTTGACGTTTTGGTAATGGAAATTGTGTAATTGGATTTTCTCTTTTTGTCTAGTAAAACTACATCCTCAGAGGTGGTTTCCATTATTCTGGTAGTGGAGGCAATCCCATTATAATTATTGTTAGCCCTTTTAATTTATTCATAATTTTTACCATAATCTAAGACTCATATTTAGTTCTCTACCTAAAAAAAGCTGTTAGTCTTACATGTACTCTAAATCCTCAGAGGTATTAACAATTTAATATCAAACTTATATGAGGTAAGTCCTCAAACTACTTTAGCTAGATATACTTTATGAAAGCCTAAAAGTAATTAAATTAAGATAAGTGAATGGAACTTGCAAATGAAAACCACACATTCTTAACCTGCATGTGAATCTATCCTGATTGTTAATAACCTTTTATGGTTTCAAGTATTTTAGATGGAGTTTTGTCCCCTTTTTCCTCCCAGCAGTAGAGGACATCTTGTCAGTTTTCTGGACCAGACTAATGAAAGACAAAGCCATTTTTACTTATTACCAAAACATATCTTGCCTATTGAGACTATGCAAATGTAGTGTTGGGACCACAAAAAACATTTTATGTGGAGGTCATTTTTTCTGATTGCAGCAAAGAAAAAAGGGAGTAGAAATGCAGGCACAGTGTGATCTTAAGGCAGATTTAATCTGGAAAGGTCTGGTTGCTGTAGAAAGGAGATACTGGGGAAAAAAAAGAGCAAATGTTTCTTTTGATGGAAGAAGAGATTCTGTTCCTAGGTTATTTCAGTTGGCTAGGATCTTTGCAGATCGGCTCTGTCTTTTAATTTATTGCTATCTCCTTGACACTCTCTTTGAACCTCGAAATGTCTCTACTGAAATTTCTGATTCCCATCCCTCCCTTTGTTCCAACCCCTGCTCTCCCCCCTCAAAAAAACCCAGCTAAAATGTTTCACTTCCAAATACCTCCTTGTAAATGGGCCAGAAGGGGGCAGGACTAGATGTAGACAAGGTTGACGTTGAATCTCCATACAGTAATTTGCTACAACTTGTTTCTGTCATTTCTCTATGTTTGGGATGTATGTTGACTAAACTTGCCCTTGGAAGGGAACTTATGCAACTAGAGGAATGATCTTCTGGCTTAAAAAATTTTTTTTCTTTGCATGTTTCTTTCTGTATTTGCTTCTGTTATTCTACTTTGATCAGTAGTAGTCAGTGGGACCTGATTTCCTTGTTACGATGGAAAAAAGATGTGGGGGTATGTTATATTGATAAAGGTATAAGGTGAGGAAAACCTCACAGCATATAAATGCAGTGGTAACTCAAATGAAGACTAGTTATTTCAGAATGTGGTTGTATAAAAGACAAGTGATTTGCGAGCCTCAGATGGAAAAAATAGGTTTTGACATTAGGAAAATATGTTTAATTGGTCACTGGAGGAGACCATAGAGGCAGATGGTTTTAGGTATTATCTTTTTGGAAATTATATGCAGTTTTGTGTGTGTGTGTATACACACATGAGCGCATTGGTGCATGGGGGTGAGGGAGTTCAAAAAATCAGCCCTAGAGAAGATCTGAAAAGATCATCTAGTCTAGCTCCTGCTCCTAAGCCATTCTTATTGCAACAGAATAGACTGAACTGTATTAGAGTAGAATGTTTAGAGTAGAGGCTAAATCTATCATATGACTTTTGTGTTTTTATAATCTGTAGTTGATAACATTGCTTTTTTTTTTCCTAAAATTTTAAATGGGAGTAACACTTAATGGGATTTTTCTATGATGGTGTACCTTAAATGGGGCTTGATATTTGATGATAAATACTATGTATGAGCAACCAGTTATCTGCAAGTTATGTTTTTTTCTGCCAGTGGTTGAATTGAGACTAGACAGTTGTAGATGGAGGTGAAGAACTGCTGGTGGTGTGAGGAAATTCTTGGCATTAAAGCTGGTAGAATCAGGGAATCAATGGCAAGTAGTCAACCTTGATAGGTGTAGTTTCTACTCTCCAGAGTTGGTGAGAAGTACTTTTCACCATCATAGAATAGTTAAATGGATGTTAACTACTTTCTGTTACATTTTATGTGCTGTGTGCATGGTCAGTTTTTTGTTTTTTTTTTTTGTTCTTGATTTAAAAAATTTGATTACTACCTCATTTTAAACAAATATGGAAATTCATGATTGATTTAAATCCCTGTGTAATATGCAATGTAAAAATTGGCTTCCGGGATTATTTGTTGGAACATCTTATCATTTCTTTTACATTCTGCATTGTCTTATAGTTGTGTTCCTCTCATCTCCCAGTTTGTAAACTCTCAGAAGCCAGGGATTGTCTTTAATTTGTCTTCATGTCTGTCTGATGCCTATTATGTAGTAGATGCTCAATAAATAAGTGTCAAATGAATGAAAGGATTGAGGAATCCATGTATTAATTCCTCCTTTTTCCAATTACCAGCTACTTTATTAAATTGTCTAATAGCAATCTATTTCTGACTTCCTTATGGTGATCAGCATATGTGTGCCTAATAAATGCTTTTTCATTCATACATTTTTGTTGTTGGTTTTGGTGTATGATAAAGGATTGTTTAGTCTTAGGCAAATAATTTAACCCCTTCATCTGTAAAATGGGAATACCATTTATCACTACTTGCCTCATATGGTCATAGCAAAGAAAGAATTTTCATGTAAATGTTAATTGTTTTATGTAGGGTACTATGGTCAAGCATAGCTATCATATTAATACTGTATTCAAGTATATTAGTACGTAATTGCAGTTTGCGTGTGTGGGAAACATTGTAAATATGAGCAAAGAAATTGTGTATTAAGATGAAAGAAACCATATCCAGGATTTTCCTTTGGCAAAATGGAATAGGAGCCCTCCTTTTATGTTTCCAGAGTCAGTCATACTAAAGGTCATGTAGCTCTGCCTGAAAGCTGAAGCTCTACTTTACCTTTTGTTCTCTACCCCTACCCTCCACCAAGACTTAATCTTTTTGTAATCAGAAGTGACTTTTTTCTTGCTGCTCTGTCATCCTTGCCTTCTCACAGTTTTACTTTTCATATTCTAGTAAATTATGGAGTAATGGAGTCTGGTTGCTAGTAGCTTTTGCTTAAATGTTTTGTATGGCATTAGAATTAGCCATTTCCTGTTTTGTTTTGTTTTTTGTATGATAATCTTCCTTAAACAGTGAACTTTGAGAAGAAAATTATATATATCCTGAGGGATTTTTTGCTTAGAGTGTTTAACTGGTAAGTTAGACATAGAACTTAAACTATTAGACTTTAAATGTTTTGTGCCTGTCCATCTTCATTATGCCTATGAACATGTTCATAGTATTTAGAATGCGTTTTGCAGTTACCTTTATTTTCAGTAATAACTTTTTAAATTTGTCTTTTTAATTTTTCTAATGCAAATTTTTATTCTGGGGGGCCACTAAGGGGACTCTGAAATACATGCCTATGATGCATTTTGAAAGTATAACTGTAACTTTTGAG